CTGGCAAGGACTCCCGGAGCACCCCCGCGGCGCCGGGGAGGACTGGCTCCCTGGGACCCGGAGGAAGGCCCAGTGCAAGATTGCAGGCGGCTCGGTCCCACGGCGGGGTCACCAAACGCAGCAGCCTGTTCTAGGTACAACTAGGAACCAGGTCACCTGTCCCCAGCACCAGAGTGCCGCTCAGTCTCCCCAAAACTGGGTGGTCCAGGCTACTTTTTCTGCGTCTACTGCCGTTCGGTGTGTGGAGCCTGCTGTGGGCACGGAATGAGCTCAGGTGACAGGTCCAGTGGGGGGGAGCCCGGCCGCAGCTCGCGCTCAGAAAGCTGAACCCACAGAACATGGTGCTGCCCCCAGGCCCGAGAGGTCATGTGTCCTTTTTTGGCAAAGCCCACAAATCCTAAACTTTGCAAATCCAGTGACTCATCCCTACCCAGATTGGGTAATTTGGGCCATAAGCGCGCACACCTGTGCTGAGGATGGGTGGGAAGTGGCCCAGCGTTGGTCTAGGTGCGCGGTGCCCTAGATAAACCCAAACCCACTGACGCATAGCCTACCTGAACCGGGTTTCCGAGGCTGTAAGTCTTTCCCGGAGCAGACAGCCTCATCTTTACCCCACCGTGAGGCTGGTGGCTTGGAACCCACAGACCTTGTGCTTTCTTAGTTAGTCCAACACTTGCCCAGCAGGATTCCTTACTCACAAGATCCGCCAGGGAGGAGGAGGGAAATGCCAGCGAGTCAGCTACCCGTTAATTGGGGTGTGTCTGAGATTTCAGCCCAGTCCTTTAAAGGGACCCAGTCCTACGCCCGATACTGTGGAGTAGTGTCAAGTGGCTCTTGGGAGTTGGCTTGCTGAACAATGAGGACAGCTGGACCTTGGTGACCTGGTCACGTCTAGGATTCTGGGAACGGGATAGAAGGCAGGCTCAGCTGATTCTGAAGACAGTGAGAGGGGTAACAATGAACCGCAGACGTCAGGGAACCATCTACACCGACTTCAAAACGGATATGTTTGCCTTAACGATTACAAGGTTTGTCTTTCTGTCGGAGAAAGCTGTTTCTTCTCCTGAAAGTAGAGCTGGATTGTGGCAAGGGGATTTCCCCACACACAAAAATGGTCTTTCAGGCGTGGGGGTTTAGGGTTGCTTTCTACAGTCATCACGTTCAGAGGCGACATTCAGCGTCAGTTCCAGAGTCTGCAGGGAAGTTTGAGAAGGTCTTTGCATATTCACAGCTCAGAAGTGTTGGAAGGGTCTCCTCAGTAAAATATGCAAGTAGCAGAAGGGGGACTGTGGCGTGATTGGTTGACCCCCATGGCTAGTGGTTTTCAAGGAGAATTGAGAGACCTCCTTAAGGAGCCTTTCTTCCCTTCATAGCCCACCCACACCGTGGCCATAAAGGCATGCTTCATCAACCCGTTTGGTCTGTTGCTAGGAGGTCAAGACACTCACAATGGTCTCATCTATTACTTAGGTCTCTGTTTACCTGGAAAGCTCATTAGGCACACTCAGAGTCTTCATGGCAACAGGGCACTACCCTCCTGTAGGGGAATTTGACACAGGTTTGTCAGTTTATGCACCCGTGACTCATGCCTGGCAACTGACCTGAAAACAGCTTTTTCTTCCCACATGGTTTGGAACACAGGTTCTTCGGAGGGCAGCTGGGTCCCTCTTTGTATCTGTTGCCTGAACGGGGGCTGCTTATTAGAAACTCCAAGTGGGAAACACACCAGCCTGCCAGAACCCTGTCTGCGCTGTACTTCCAGGTTGCTCTGTTTTCTCTGCTGTGCGGCCTTTCCAGAGCAGGGGGGGCAGGGTCCAGAATCAGGAACTGAGAAGCACAAAGTCACAGGACCTTCCATGATGCTGAGGAGCTATGATGAGGAAAACGTCCTAGGAAAAGACTGGTCTCCTTTACGCCAAGTCAGCATCGCCGAATGTGCCTTTGGGATGTCAGGGCCAGCTCCCACTGTGAGCAAGCACAGAGTAGAGGAGGCCCACCTCCGCTGTCGCCCTAAAGCAGTCCAACCCCGAGGTTTGGGGAAACACTTCCACACACATCTCCATTACAGCTTGTATAAGTTCTGCCCTGAAGCTGAACTGGAGCCTCCCAGGTGTCCCTGCCTGGGAAGCAGACATCACTGGATTAATTGCTAGGTGGGCCTAGAGCAGCCTAGTGAGGTGGATGGCTGCTAGTTATGAGAGGGGAAAGCTGCCATTTAGCCACCAATTAGCATGGTCTACATCCTGACTCAAGTTTACATTCATTCTACAGTACACGGAACTGAAGTATACTGTGTAGTGTTCCCAAATGTGGCTATTCAGGCAGTCTCTCTCTCAATCTCTCTCCACACCCCTCTTTCTTTCTTTTTGACTTTTATTCAGTGTATCTTTCATGGTTTGCCAAAAGTTCCTGATTCCTGGAATGCCAGGAGGAAGTCCACATATCTGTGGAGTAGGTAATTTTTTTACAGTTGACTGTGTCTCTCTGTAAACTACTCATTTGTGTAAAAAGAGGAGAAAAGTCAGGAGAAGAGGAAGAAATGTTCAAGGCAAATCATAAAGATATTTATGCAAATAGGTATCTACTTAACAATATATAGATGAAGGGCGTCTGGAGACTGACCACCCTGATTCCAAAAGAGTCCTGTTATATTCCTTTCAGTACAGCTTCTGATGTTTGGATGCTAGCATCATCAAAAACAGTGTGCACACATTTCTGGAAGAGTACAGTTTATTGGTCAAAATATGGCTATAATTAGCCAGTTGGCCACACAAAATGACCTCCTGGTCCTCAGCACCACTGAGAGAATGAGTCAGTCAGCCTTCTGACAGAAACAGAGTCCTGCTTCATACTGTTTACAGTTTCAGCCTGTTGTGCTGCTCTGAATGATCAAGCCAGAAAATACATCTCTAAATGAAATTATTCATACTTTCCAAAGACCGTCCTTTCAACTCTCAAAGTGTAAGGTGTCATATTTGTGTAGGTGGAGTCAGGAGACCTGGGCCCTGGCCTTTAGCTCTCTAATAAAGACAGCATGCCTTTGGGCCAAGAGGTAAGCAGTCTGAGACTCAGTTTACTGACTTTGAAGATGGGAATATTGATGGTCCACTGTCAATCTCAGAAGATTGTTCGCAGAATCAAAAGAGGTCATGTATGTGAAGGTGCTTTGTGAGTGGGAAAATACCACACAGGTGCAGCGTGAAGTTATTCCAAGACCAAAAACTCATTGCCATCAAGTCTGGGCCAGCTCACAGCAGCGCTATTGGGTAGAAATATCCCTGTGAGTTTGTGAGACTGCAACTCTTTCTGGGAGTAGAAAACCCAGGATTTCTCCAGAGGAGCTACTGGTGGCTTCGGACTGCTACCCTTGTGGATCAAAGCCCAACTTATAACCACTATGGCACCAGGGCTCCTTGCTGTTCTAAGGACTTGTCTAATGTGTCAGAACACACCCTAAACAGCCATCCAAGGTGATAGAGGAAACGCAGGCAGTACCCTGCAGTCGGCTTTGTTTCTCAGGTCAGTTTTGCCTGGGGCTGAAATATAAACTGATGAATAGAAGTTAAATTTTGGAAATGCTCTTAAAATAATCATCTATAATTTATCAAGGGCTCAGGAGGGAGGGAGGATGGGGGAGGGAGGGAGGAAAATGAGGAACTGATATCAAGGGCTCAAGTAGAAAGAAAATGCTTTGAAAATGATGATGGCAACATAGGTACAAATGTGCTTGACACAATAGACAAGTGTGTGGATTGTGATAAGAGATTAAGAGATGTAAGAGCCTCCAATAAAACTATTTTTTTTAAAAGAAATGCTTTTTTAAAAAAAAATCATTTTATTGGAAGCTCGTACAACTCTTATCCCAATCCATATATCCATCCATTGTGTCAAGCACATTT